ATGAGAGCCTGGGAAGCAGAAGCATATTAGTAGTGAGAAGACCGTGGAAGACACTAGCTCCAAAGGGTTACATGAACAACAAAAACAAAACAAAACAAAAAAAAGTTTACATATAAATATCTGGAATAATGTTAATAAATGCATGTTACTCTGAATATTGTCATGGTCACAAATATTCGGAATGTGCAATATCCAAGGGCATTTCAACAGGGAAAAAATAAATTAATAGGAATAAATAACCCCAATGCAACTTATAGAAATATAAAGATCATATCGGCCATCATGCACACTGCAAATGTGTAAACTTTTTATTCAAGTGCTCCCTTTAAATAATTCCAAAGCACCATATCTGGCAAGGAAAAAGTAGCAGTAAATCTATTTTCATGGGTTGAGGAGCCCGTCAGCCCTCCTTCTCAAAAACCTCATCTCCACTGTCTATCGGTGAGAAGTTTTCTGCACAGGAGTCGCTGAGGGAGAGCCTCCCCCCGCACCGCTCAGAGCCCTCACTGGACCCGCTGTCACACATGGACTTGCTAGAGAAAGAGTCGAGAGGGTCTGAGGATTTCTTCAGCCTGGCTAGTCTTGGACTCCTGATGCCACTTCTGACAGACTGCTGCTGTTGCTGTTGTTGCTGCTGCTGCTGAGGTGGCTGCTGTGGCTGCTGCTGTTGCTGCCTCCGTGCAAGGTTTGAACGAATACATGCAGAAGGCTTGACTGCTCTGCTGGAGAACCCTTTGGGTGGCAGTGCCTTATCACACGGGGCTTTGGACTTTCTAGAGGATTCACCAGCATCTTTGGAGGAAGGAGTATCTTCTTTGAGGGCTTTTGGAGACTCAGCTCTTGATGATTTCTTGGAAGACATGTGAGGTGTTTGGATACGTGGGATACGCGTGGGAGAGCTCGTTTTCAAGTTGCCATGTAATCTGTCGCCAGAATTTTGCACCTGACCCACCGACTTGCTGCTGGTGACTCGGTTGTCCTTGGAGGTAAGCTGAGGAGATGGCGTTCTGCTTGGTGGGTTCACCTGTCTTGCACTACACTTGGGTGCTCCGCTGGGGGTACCGTCGCTCACTTTATTCTTGGCTTGGCTCCAAACCTTTGGTCTGTTTGCACTGGTACTGGAACTGGATTTATTGGGGATTACTCTGCTACAGGTTGTACTGGAAGCACTTCTAGCTGGTATAGCTGATGTAGTGGCAGGTTGCTTAATTCCTGAGTTGTGATTAAACTTGTTGAGCTGACGTATAGCACTCCTTACACTACAGAGACTTCTCGTATCCACACCTTCCTGAATATTGCCACCAGGACAACGGTCCTCGCGTTCGTTAACACTTACGTCATTTTTAGGATCTTCCCGTTCACTTACAGTCAAGTCACTCTTCGCACTTCGTTCATTTTTGGGCCTGGCTATATTATTTTTGGGACTAACTTCACTTTTTAAGCTGTTTTTCGAACTGGAATCAATTTTTGGAGTTCTGCCCTTTATTTCATGACTGCCTATTTGCTGTCTTTTCAAGGGATTATTATTTGCCTTGGGCACATTAGATAGCGCACTCCTGCTATCAGTTGTTACAGCACTAGGATTGGCTTTGTCTCCCGAAACATTCGACGCACCTAAGTCCTGTGACCCTAAGTCAGAGAGGGATGTGGAGAAGTCACACAGGAACTCAAACTCCTCTAGAGCAGCCTTCTCCTGCTCTCCGAATCTCACAAACAAGTCCCTCCGACCAAGGATGGAGGGGCGGGCCACTCCCGTCCCCAGCACCAGACGGTCGCCTCCGCTACGATGTGATGCTGCACAGGAGAGGGAAAAAGGGCATTCATTAGTACTGAATTTTGTTGGGAGAGGAACTAAGAAGTCATAACTAGAACTCATTATCTTTTTTAATGATGTGGAGAGACTACTTTACTATCAGTAGTAGTTAAATTTTAAATCTATTACATTACCTTACAGACTATTTTGAAACTTCTACAAAGGGTTTTTGCAACATACACACAAAAGGGTGCTTTATATTATAGACAAACATGGGGAGGTTAATATTGCATTTCTCTCATATTGAACAAAAATATAATGCAGAACATCAATATCCAGTGTATATTCTAAAAACTATCATAACCTCATCATAAAAATATAAAATAAATGTTTAAAAAACTGTCACTACAGGTGATGTTAAACAATTAGGGCATTTGGTAAACCTTGTAAACAAGACAACATGCACTATACACACTGAACTATCAGAACAAGCAGTGCATGTATTAGCTGTGTGGCCATCACTAGGTAATATGTCACTGTATGTGCATTTGCCTTAGAACTGGCTTGGACTTGGGAACAAGATTTCCAATAAATATTAGTGAAGGAAGTATTTATGACGAGAGACGTTAAAACTGATAGGGAAGGAGGGATGGCTAGATGGACGGACTGAAAGATGGATGACAGGATGAATGGATGGATGGATGGATGGATGGATGGATGGATGGATGGATGGATGATGGGAGATGG